GTAACTTGGTGGCATTTAATAGTTTGCCACTAGTCACCACTGCTCTTACCAAACCAATATCATGGGCTGATATTGCTAGTAAGCCTGCAAAACAATAGCTCTAGCTGAAGACCAAGAATGTCATTGTAGGCTCAGGTTTTTCATTGGCCCTAATAAAATATAACATGGATATTGGAACTTGAGATAACAAAGGTCTTATAATAGAAGCTTCTTTTGGTTCAAAATATTGGTTAGCCATCAACACAAGTATCATCTTGGCCTGTAGGTCAGCAGATAAACAACAGTCACCAGGGTGCAGGTGGCAGCAGGGTAACAGCTGTAGCCTCTCCTCCACCACTATCATCCCAGCCTACCCAACTTTTTTTGCAAATGACAAGCAGCCCAACCTTCCTGTGAGTAATAGTACCTCAGAACCATGGCAATGGATTTGGGCATAATGGGGTGCATGGTAGGTAACAGGGTAAGGAAATCTATAAACATTTGGAGAAATCATAGGTCCTTCGACAATTATAATCCTAAGGATTTTGACTGGAATCTGAAACATGGCTGAGTTTTCATCATCAAGATTTACTCTGAGGACAATGCCCATAATTCCATTAAATATAATATCTGGTATAGTATCAAACATGGCCATAAGAGTCTGTATGCTGCTTATCACTCTATGAATGGGAAATGCACCAACTACTTACTTTTTGGTATCAGGAGTAGTGAACACTTCTGTGGCATAACATAAATAAAATCTGCTGTGAACTACAATACATATGTGAGTATGAGGTCCCAGGACAAATGAAAGGGAGTTAGGGGTTAGTTGGATTTTGGTGAAGGACATTCCTGATAGCCAGTTGCAGAACAATGAAAATAAATCAATGACCAACTCTGGAAACACCCAGGAAGTGCCCCTAGAAAATGCTAAGCAGGTGTTGGAAATTACTGCCGGCTTCAAACACACCATCCCCATTTTTGACAATTTCTCACGCTATGAGAAATACCAAAAGAAGGAAAATGTTAAAAAAGAAGACCAAGATCATGTCAAATAAAGGCAGCTTTCCTGTAAGGACTGTAGCAATGGTTGTACTTGAATATCTTTCAGAGAGAGAGAAGAGAAATAACCTTTGAAAGAATTAGGACTTTCCCCCCTTAATTTCATTGAATTCAAAGAAACAATTGCACGCTTACAGTTCAAAGTATTGGAATTTCACAAAAGACATAGGACTTAACAAGAATGGGGAAAAGAGAAATTTTTAAAAAATTCTCTAGATTTTTTACATAAAAATATCCCCTTTATCTTGTCTTTGCTTATGATTTCAAAACATAATGCTGTACTTTTGGGGTTTTTTTTAACTTTTTTTCACATTTTAAGGTCTGTAAGTGACATAGTTTTTTTCCCCCCTATAATTTTTAAGTTCTTTCCTCCTCACCATTTTCACATTTCTATTTGGAACACTGAATTGTGAAGGGTTTGGACATCCACCCCCCGAAATAGATGTTTGTTTTCTTTCTTAAGTGCAAGAACATTTTATGAAGAAATTTTGTCTAGAAGAATCAAGCACATTGTTACCCAAGCTTCTGTCTCTAAAAATGGTCCATTTTCTTTGACCTTTTGTTACTCAAAGTAAAGTGCTAGGAGTTCTAAGAAATGTTCTGTTCTCATACATTATATAGATTAAATCAGGATTAATTTTATTTCAAAATTAAGAATAGTGGTAAAAACTCATTTATAGAAAATGCATTTTGGAAGAGAAAAATATAAAATGTGTGGTGAATGTTTCCTCAGTTTCTTGTTTGGTCAGTGGGGAGAGGGCATTGATTTTTTTTTTACCTTTAATCACTATTCTATAACAAACATGAGATGCTGTTGAGTATCAAAGAGAGAGAGAGAGAGAGAGGAGACAGACAGACAGAGAATAACTAATTAGATTTTTAGATTTATGAGGTAAAGTAACATGAAGAATCAAAACGGATACCAACCTGCATGATGAGCATGATGGTGGTACAAATAATAAGGAGATTTGAAAGAGGGATGGATGGATTTCTTAGAAAAGGTAATGAATGTTGTTTTGAACATATTTGGGGTATATTGTTTTTGAGATGGCCGTAGGACTTCTAGTTCAAAGTGACCAATAGGAAGATGGTGATGAGACTACTTTATTACCATGACTTAACTACCTTCTCCCCATACCCCCACCATGTCCTTCTCATTTAGGTGAGATACTCCTGAAACTTCCGTTCAAAGGGACTTCCATTCTTTGGACTTCACCACCATTGCCACCCCTTCCCCCATTAAAGTTCTTTTTTATGTGTGGTTTTCCACTATGAGAATGTAAACTCCTTGAAGGCAGGGAATGTTTTTCTTTCTTTCTTATAGCTGTATTCCCAGTCCCTAGCATAATGTCTGGCACATACTAAGAACTTAACAAATTCTTGTTGACTTGACTTCATGTGAGTACAGATTTCAGAGGAGTTTTCAAGGCTGCATATATATAGATCTATGGCTTATCTGTGTAGGGATGATAATTGAAACCTTGGGAGCTGATGAGATCATTTACAGAAATAATGTGGTAAGAAGAGAAATTAATCTGGAAAAGTAAAACCTTAGGGGACACCCATAGATGGCGGGGCAGGATATGGGTGATGATCTAGCAAAGGGGACTAAAAATAGAGGTTTGCATGAGTAAGAAGAGAATCAAGAGAGAACCAATGTTACAAAATCTAGAGAGGAGAGAGTATCCAAGAGGAGAAGGTGGTCAACAAATTAAAACACTGCTGAGAGGTTAAGACAGATGAAGACTAAGAGAATGGCATTGGATCTGGCAAATAAGAGATCATCAGGAACTTAGAAAGAATACTTTCAGTTCAGTGATAAGATTCTGAAGCCAAGCTGCAAAGGGCTGAGAAGTAAGAGCAGAAACAATGGAGGCAGCAATTGTAGATAGCTTTTTTAGGAATCCATCTATGAAAGGGGAAGAAATATAGGATGATTGCTTGAGGTAATGCTAGTGTTATTACCATTATGGATTAGAGAGATCTATACATGCTCATAAATTGTTCTCATTGAGTCATTTCAGTTGTGTTCAACATTTTGTAACCCCATTTGGGGTTCTCTAGGCAAAGATACTAGAGTGGTTTGCCATTTGCTCATTTTAGAGGCGAGGAGCTGAGGCAAACAGGGTTAAGTGGCTTGCCCAGGGTCACACAGCTAATACGTGCCTGAGGCCAGATTTGAACTCAGGAAGAAGAGACTTCCTGACTTCAGGCCCATTGCTCTATCCACTGTTCCACCTATCTTTCCCATACTCATAAAAAGCAGGGAAGAAAACAATAAAATGTACATTGTATTGAAGGTTGAAGAGTATATGGAAGATCACATTGAGAAATGGGGGTGATTAGGGAGACAGTCTGCCGGAGAAAATAAAAAAAATGATAGGATCAAGGGTACAAATAGAAGGGTCAGTTTTGGTGAAGATAAAAACTACTTCTTTAACAGAGAGTGAAATGAAGGAAAAGAGAGTGGAAAATGACATCAAGGGGTTTTAAGATGTGGAGAAGGGTAGAAGAGAGAATTCATGACTCAGGACCTCAACTTTTTAGGAGAATATGAGTAAAGTTCTCTGCTGAGAGGGTATTGGAGGAGGAGGGAAGGTGGAAGCTTTAAGAAGAAAGAGTAAGTTTAGAACAACTTTTGAGTGTAAAAATTACTTGGATAGGAGAAAAAGGTTGACTTGCTGCAGTGAAAGCCTAGCTGATATTATGAAATATAAATGTATAGTAGATTCAGTCAGCATGATTGTATAATTATCTACACCATTCACCCTCAGATGGTAGGAAGAGAGGAGTTGGCAGGCAGGAGTAATTAAGGGTTATTGTTTATTAACTATGACATTATTAAGGAAAGTGGATAGCTGGGGGACACTTTCTAACAAACCATCCAAGCAAACATTTATGAAAATATCTTATCCTTTACTGACTTGAAATAAACTGAACCCTACTAGAGAACAGCCCCTTCTTCTCATGGACTCTTCTGTGGCTGCAGCTGCTGAATGATAAATGAAACACTTTTGTACATGGAAAGGAAGATGTACTCGTGCAAAGGAGAGATGTCAATTCTGAAACCAGCTCTGAAGATCAAGGTATCATAAGAGCAGTAAGCAAATAGAATTAAATCCAAGGCCACCTAAGAGGTCACTGGTACACTTAACATCACAGTTGTTACTGAAAGTATGCTGAAGGTAAGAGCTGAGGGTGCCCTGAAGCTTATTGACGGTGACATGACCTAGCACCACACTTTCATCTGGGTTAGGCCTTCAGTGGCCAATTTAAAGCACAATAATGGAAGACATTTTATTTCTTTCCAAGACCTATACCTTGGATGATATGAACAATGCCATTAAAAAAAAAATCCTATAACATATTTTAGCCCATGAAAATTATAGTAGAAGTAAGGAATTTTTGAGATGGAAATATTATGAGGCTTCTAATATTATAATTACACAATGATACTTTATTACTTTGTAACTGTTTCGAAATTTGGAAGGAAGGTTTCCAACTTCTTCCACTCTGCACCCAACTTTGAATAGTACAATAGGTGTTGGCAAAGAGGCACAGATGGGCTGTAGTATTAGATTAATGAGGCAACTTTCTATTATTTATGAGGCTTGACTTTGATTCATAATTGGCCTGAAACTTATCAAGGGACCAAACCAAGAAGTCATGTTTGTTTTGTTTTGTTTTGCTTTATTTTGCTGTCAACATTCAGTGGGATTCATGACCCTAGAAAAAGGGGAGATTAGTTGTCCTAGCAGAGTAAATCAGACTAGATCATATGATATTGCTGGATGACACAGTGGGTAGAGTGCTGACTATATAGTCAGGAAGAGCTGAGGTCCAATCCCTCCTCAGACACTTATGAACTGTGTGCCCCTAAGGATGTCACATAAACTCAATTAAACTTTGCCTGCAAAATTGGGATAACAGCTCCTACTTCACAGGTTTGATGTTAGGATTAAATCAGATAACACACATAAAAGACTTAATATCTGACTATTGTTATTGTTATTATTGTTATTTTTAATTATTATTATCAGAAGAATATTATTATCATCAGAAGTGAGAAAGAAATATGCAAGATGCACACAAGTTTTCACCCTCTCTCATTTTGGCTTTCCCTTGAATTCAGAAAAGCACCCTGCAACATTGGTTCTCTGTAGGTCTGAGTCTACAAGGGCAGTGGCCACTTCTTGATCTCTTTGCTCTTACCCATCCTCTTCCCACGTGGTCAGATCACATACTGTGGCAACATCATTTCTTCTTGGTTTCCTTTCCCCAACCCATTATTTTTTTCTTTTCCTTTTTCCTTTTTCTCCCTTCTTTTTGTCTTTGTCTTGGAATATTTGGTTAGGAGTTGCTAAACCCTGTGAAAAAGCGATTGATAATCATTCTATTCTATTTGCAGAAACATTTGTCTATTGATATCTTTAGCGTTATGTACGTTCTTTTAGTTAGTATTTAGTATTAGTATATTCTTTTTCATTAAAAATTTAACATTCTCAGAAAATATCAATAAACAAATAATCAAATTTAATGAGTAAATCTCCAAATGAAACATTTTGATTTTAAACACTTTGACATGTAAACATTTTGATTTTAAAATGATATTCACTTTAAGAAAACAATGAGGGACAGCTAAGTGGTACAGTGGATAGAGCACTGGCTCTGTAGTCAGGAGGACCTGAGTTCAAATCCAGCATCAGACACATAACACTTACTAGCTGTGTGACCCTGGGCAAGTCACTTAACCCCATTGCCTAGCCAAAAAAAAAAGAGCAACTGTTGTTTCTACTTTCTGAATCCCTCTGTTTACTTACAGAGGTCTATTAGCTTTAAAAACAAGGTTATAATGCTGCTTTTACTCTTCTGAGCTTTCTTTGAATCACTTTCTGTGGGTACTTTTATTATTTAATATTTCGCATTGTTTACAATATTACAATATCCTGAAGAATCAGAGTGGACAGATGGTCAGATTTGGAGTTAGAAAGACATGGGTTCAAATTCTGTCTATGACACTTTGTAGCTCTGACCCTACGAGCAAGTCACTTTACTCATTCACTAGTCTGAGTCAATAAATTATGAAATAATTTAATTTGTTTTGGTGGAATGAACTTCTAGGAGATCGCTACACTGATACAATTACATCTGGATCAAATATGTTGATATTTGTGTTCTTATAGAGTCTATGTGTGTATTTCAACACATGTATAGGTCATAATATATGTGTACACATGTGTTTATATATGTAGATATATTTACATATATGTATACACACTTATATAGAAGTCATCTGTATTAAGAGCTATGAACTATATCAGCAAGCAGGCTAAGAAGATCATAAACACTTTTTTTTGGAGGCAATCAGGGTTAAGTGGCTTGTCAAGGATCACATAGCTAGTGTCTGAGGTCAGATTTGAACTCAGATCCTTTTGACTCCAGGGTTGGTACTCTATCCACTGAGACACCTGGCTACCCCCTCACAAACCTTTGAAGGAGATAATCTATGTCATATATACACTTTGTTGCCAACTCTTGTGGTTTCTACCTTTACAACATCTCTTGTATGTACTCTTTTTGTCCATAGCTGTCACCTTGGGACAGGCACTCATTGACTTATGCCTTCTGGTTGATCTTTCCCTCAATTATCTCCTTACTCCAGTACATACTCCACTCAGCCGATAAAGTGATCGTTCTTAAGCGGGAGACATCCATTGAAAAATCACAGCTCAGATAAGTTGACTGACTTTTCCTAAACCGTATAGTTAATAAGTCACAGAGTTAAGATTTGAATGCAGATCCTCTAATTACAAATGTAGCATTCTTTCAGTTACATCACATTATTTCTTCTACCTTCATTTATTTATCATGGGCTTTTTTCCTATTTAATTTGTTTTTAATCATTATTCTATCAAATTTTATCATATCACCTGAGTGTTTATAAATGCATTATTTACTTGTTCCAGTCTTTTTCTAGGTCTCAAAATTAAAACCACAAATCTATAATGGCTATGGTCATTTCTTTTATATTTTTTAAAAATGATACTTGCCATCATTTTTTTTAAAGATGTGAGGTTGCAAGGGTGTAGATACCAATTTTATTAAAGAAAAATGTATTGAAGTTATAGAACACTTTTCCAGCAAGTTCCTTGACAATAGTAGTTTGATTTCTTTCTATCCCACTTCCCACAGTCTGTGCCTCTCTTTCTGGATTTATTTTTCCTCACCTTCTAACTTCCATATTAAGAAAAAACTAGTAGTTAGATCATTTTTATTGGATCATTACTCTTTTAAAAAAAGTGTATTTAGTATATTATTTTTCCCGTTATATGTAAAAATAATTGTTAACATTCATTTGATTTTTAAATTCTTTCCTTTCCTCTCTCACCATACCCACCCCCGATTGAAAAGGCAAGCAATTCAATGTAGCTTATACATCTGTAGTCATTCAAAACACTTCTAGTCATGTGAAAGACTAACTGTATTCCCTTCCATCCTATCTCCTCCCACATTTATTCTATCCTCTCTCTCTTTTCACCTTGTCCATCCTCAAAAGTATTTTGCTTCTGACCACCCCTTCCCCCAATCAGCCCTCCCTTCTATCATCTCCCTTTCTCTTATTCCCTTCCCCCCTGTTTTCCTTTAGGGTAAGATAGATTTCTATATCCAATTGAGTGTGCATGTTATTCCTTGTTTAAGCCAATTCTGATAAGAGTAAGATTCACTCCCTCCCTCTCACCTCCCCCCATTTGTCTCCAATGTAAAAGCTTTTTCTTGCCTCTTTTATGTGAGATAATTTACCCCATTCTACCTCTCCTTTTCTCTTTCTCCCAGTACATTCCTCTCTTACCCCTTAATTTTACTTTTTAGATTATCCCTTCATATTCAACTCATACCTGTGTCCTCTGTCTATATATACTCCTTCTAGCTAGCCTACTAATGAGAAAGGTCTTATGAGTTACAAATATCATCTTCCCATGTAGGAATGTAAACAGTTTAGCTTTAATAAGTCCCTTATGATTGTATTTTCCTGTTTACCTTTTCATGTTTCTCTTGAGTCTCATATTTCAAAGTCAAATTTTTTCTTCAGCTCTGGTCTTTTTTCAAGAATGTTTGAAATTCCTCTATCTTATTAAAGGTCCATTTTTTTTCCTCTGAAAGATTATACTGTTTTGCTAGGTAGGTGATTCTTCATTGTAATCCTAGCTCCTTTAACCTCCTGAATATCATATTCCAAGCCCTCTGATCCTTTAATGTAGAAGCTGCTAAATCTTGTGTTATCCTGATTGTGTTTCCACAGTACTTGAATTGTTTCTTTGTGACTGTTTGAAATATTTTCTCCTTGTCCTGGGAACTCTGGAATTTGGCTATAATATTCCTTGGAGTTTTCATTTTGGAAACTTTTTCAGGAGTTGATCAGTAGTTTCTTTCAATTTCTATTTTACTCTCTGGTTCTAGAATATCAGGGTAATTTTCCTTGATAATTTCTTGAAAGATGATGTCTAGGCTCCTTTATTTTTTATCATGGCTTTCAGGTAGTCCAATAAATTTTAAATGACCTCTCCTGGATCTATTTTCCAGGTCAGTTATTTTTCCAATTAGATATTTCACATTGTCTTTGATTTTTTCATTCTTTTGGTCTTGTTTTATGGTTTCTTGATTTCTAATAAAGTTGCTATCTTCCATTTGCTCCATTCTAATTTTTTAGGAATTATTTTCTTCTGCATGCTTTTGGACCTCCTTTTCCATTTGGACAATTCTGCTTTTTAAGGCATTCTTCTCCTCACTGCCTTTTTGCACCTCTTTTGCCATTTGGCCTAGTTTGTTTTTTAAGGTATTGTTTTCTTCAGTATTGTGTGTGTGTGTGTGTGTGTGTGTGTGTGTGTGTGTGTGTATGTGTGTGTATCTCCTTTACCAAGCTGCTGACTCATTTTTCATGATTTTCTTGCATCACTCTCATTTCTCTTCCTAACTCTACTTTTCTTACTTCATTTTTGAAATCATTTTTAAGCTCTTCCATGGTTTGAGACCAATTCATATTTTTCTTGGAGGCTTTGGATGTAGGAGTTTTGTCTTTGTTGTCTTCTTCTGAGTGTGTGTTTTGATCTTCCTTGTCACCAAAGCAAGTTTTTATAATCAGAGATTTTTCTACTGTTTGCTCATTTTCCCAGCCTATTAATTGATTTTTAACTGTTTGCTAAAGTTTGGATCTGTTTTAAGGGTAGAGGGCACACTGCCCCAAGCTTCAGGGCTTTTGTACAGCTGTTTCAAGAGATACTTCAAGGTATCTGTAAATTTTTAGTTCTTCCAAGGTGATATGATCTAAGGAAATGTGTTTACCACTCTCCTTTCCTGTATTCTGGTTTGTGAGTGACCACAAGCACTCTTTTCTGCCCTGGAACTGTGTGGTTGGTCCCCCTGCAGGGTGGCCACAAGCTCTGCTATGCTAGTGCCCCTCCTTGCCCTGGGACAGCCACCCAGGACTGGAGTCTGGATCAAAGGATGGGCAAAGCACCAGAATCCTGATTCAGTGCTAGCAAAAGGACTCTCTAATCTCTTTCTGACCACTTGCTTTACCTCCTTACTGTGTGTGGGCTGAGAGATTCAGGAGTAGCCATTACCCCTTGAACTTTTGATTCAGCTACTCCCATGGCCTGCTGGGGTTGCAGCTGTGCTGATGTGGCCTGTGCTAGACTGCACTCCTCTCACCTAGGTGCGACAGACCTTTTCTACTGATCTTCTAAGTTGTCTTTGGCTTCCATGGGCTGAAAAGTCTGGAAATAGCCACTGTTGCCAGTAATTCAGTTGCCCTGAGGCATACTCTAAGTTTGCTGGGGCCAAGTCTAAACTGGCATGGCCGACACTTCTCTCTCACCCTGGTGCAATAGACCCTTCCTGACAGCCTTCCAAGCTATCTTGGGCTGGAAATTTGTTTTACTCCATCTTTTTATGAGTGGTGCTGCTCTAGAACTAGTTTAGAGTCATTTTTTTAAAGGTATTTGGAGGGTTTTTGAGGAGAGCTCAGGTGAGTCCCTGCCTTTACTCCAACATCTTGGCTCCACCTCCCTTGAGCTTAGCTTTCTATCTACTATGTCATGCTTCTCTCTTATGATTGTATTGAAGGTAATTTCTCTTTGTATGCTATACACAGGTCAAAATAAAGATAATCCTCATTTATCCATAGCAATGGAGTTGAACTGGGGGGCAGATAATCCCCAATAGAAGATAGTTCTAAAATATATTCTATTTGGATTTAGGGTATATTGCTAAGTAATTTTTTTTTTGGCCATAGAATTAACTTCTTAATTATAGCTGGCTTACGTAAATAATGAATTTAGATTAAGTTTTCTGACCATATACTTACCAC